CCCAGGGATGGCCCCGCCCAGGGATGGCCCCGCCCAGGGATGGCCCCGCCCCAGGGATGGCCCCGCCCCCAGAGGTAGGACCCACAGGCACGGGCATCCCTGGATGAAGGGCCTCAGCGTCCATCGTTCAGAGTGGCCTCCAGACCTGGAATGGGGGGGTGCGAGCTGGGAATGTGGGTGCTCCGCTCCAGATGGCAAAGCACCCCGACATGAGAAAGTGAAGGTAGCAGGTATGAGAGGAGACTGAGGCTGTGGCTCAGCACTCAGCCCTCCCTTCCCCTGCCCCTACCCCTTCCCTGCCCTCTCCTGCCCCTGCCCTGTCCCTGCACAGATCTGACAACCTCGGGCAGTTGGTCACTGGTCCCAGCCCCAGAAAGGACCCCGCAGTGGCTGCTGGGCAGGGGAGGGCACCCACAGACTCAGGGCTGCTGGGTCACGGGCCTCCCCTGAGGCCCAGAGTGCGGGCGGCGTGGCCCCCAGCGCGGGGTGGCCCCAGGGCACATCCCTGCAGTCTGTGGAGACCGGCCCTCAGCAGCCTCAGCAGCCAGGGGCGCAGGGTGGACGCCTGCGGGGTCAGCAGGCTGCACTGGCCTGGCCACCGCCCTGGGCGTTTAAGCAAATGCAGGTAAAATGGCTCAGTCAGGTCTAGTTCGCTATTACGGAACTGGGCTGAGAGTGGAGAAAGATCATGTCCCGGCAGCTTCTGGCTAGGCCGGTCCTCTGCTAGGGATGGACACCGACCACTGACGGGCCGGGACTGTCCCCGTCACGCCCGGCTGGCACAGCGGGGCCGTAGCCCAGCCTCGGTGCCGTGAGACCGCGGCACCAGCAGGTGGGCCCTGCAGCAGCCGCGACGACCCCGTGCAGCAGGAAGCGGCCAGGGAGCCGCGCCCCTCTCCACGGAGGTGGACGGCCCCTCGAGGGTGGGTGCCGCGGCCGCACGGCTCGCTCCTGCCCGAGGAGCAGCTCCTGCCCGTCACGCTGAAGCAGACGCAGTCTGTCTTCCTGCGTCTAAGGACAGGACGGACGTCCCTGAGTGGACAGGACGTCCAGCAGCAGGCGCTGACCAAGCAAGCTGGCGCCCGCCCCAGCCCGCCTGCGCCCGCCCCAAAAGGCCACGCGACCCTCCTGGCGCTGCAGACCCTCGCCCGTCTCCCCTTGGGCCCCTTTGTCCAAACGCCCTCGGCAAGTCGCAGACGGGTCGCGACTCCCTCGGGCTGCCCACACGCAGACCACTGCCCCCCTCCTCACACCGCTGCCCTGTCCGGGCGGAGGGGCCGGGCCGGAGCTCGGAACCACAAGACCCCGCTGTCCCGGCCCGGCCCCCAGACGACCTCACTCGCACCTAGAGCGTGGACGCGTGAGTCCGAGCGGCAGTCGGGGCCCTCCGCCCGTCCCCGCCCTGCGGCCGAGTGGCAGCGGTGGCCTGGCGGCCGGGCGCGTTTCTCAGAGGCGGAGTGCACCGGCTATCCGGGGGCGCGGGGAGGAGTTAGGAGCGGGAAAGCCGGAGGCGTGAGGTCTGGGCAGGGGGCCTGTGGGGAAGACCGTGAGGGCCAGAGACGGCTGTGGGCGCTGCGGGTGATCGGAGCACCGGGCGCCCTGTCCGGGCTGCGGACCTGGAGCCCAACCCCGTCGGCAGCACGGAGCCTGGCGGAGACGGCTGCGCCCGGAAGTCCTGGCCGGCTGGTGATTACGCGCTTTGGAGGAATCGGTCAGTTTCTTAATCCTGTTACAACACAGTGGGCACTGTGGGTGCTCCCTGCCATGGGTGCTCCCCGTGGGTGCTCCCTGCCATGGGTGCTACCCCGTGGGTGCTCCCCCGTGGGTGCTCCCCCGTGGGTGCTCCC